TTCGATACAAATTACAAAGTATCGAAAATACATATTTTAAATATATATATATATATATATATATATATATATATAGGATACTGCCCAACTGTGTATGAGTCACTAATATTTTGTGGAACTACAGGACTTTATTTGTGTAAAAGCTAGGTCACCAAATCAACTGTTTTCTTCTGCCACCAGGGCTTTCAAGTTCGTGTCCCAATTCTACTGCACGAGATGGCATCAAATGTTCATTAAAACTTGCCAATCATGCCAATCAAAAGGTATTGAAAATACGTTTCTTCAAAAATGTTAACAAAATCATTGAGAATAACAAGCAATATTTTTGGCGCGTGACTTGAATATTGAAATTCAACCAATAAAATTTGAATCCAGCACTGGAAACTGCATACATTTTTTAAAATATCATAAAAAGTGCAATATTTATTTATATTTTTAAGTAACCATACTTTTATTACAATTAATACAATGAAAAATTAATAGTTAAATTATATAAAATTCTGGTTAACTGGATGCTGAAAGTTTTTCCAGTCTGTGAAAAATTACGAACATTTTTGGGAATGTGTTTATGTTGAATTCTTTCCAAACGATTATTAAAGTTTAATGCATGTAATATTTCTTTCGATTATAATAATTAATACAAATTTCTAAAATGAATATTTAAAAAGCCGACAGTCTAGAAAAATATACGGAAGGTACATTAATAGCACAGGGGCTCAAAATTCGTTGGTACTTTTCTTCATCTATTAAAGGACACGTGGAACTAAATGTTTCATACATTTCATTTAATTATAAAGCAGCACTTTAGCATCATCGCTAATGTCATGTTAATATTTACTTCCAGCCGTTTTCTAAAAGGAAAATATATCGACTTGGCATGTGTTGATAAAATAGTGTTTTTTTAAATCCAATTTATCGACGAAATTCGCATATCTCACGGAATCTCAATAAACCGAAAAAAGCAAACTTCGCTGTAAATAAAAAAATGTGATAAGTTGCACACACCTCAACATCCGCATAATACAATAAAAAAAACTTAGTAATACTCTAGGAATCGCTGGTGCTCACAGCAGAGGTTGCCACCCAACTCTTTCCCGCCATACGTTGTGACGTCATTCTGGACATCTCCACGGTCAGCTTTATTGACTGGCTAAAAGCCCCTAAACATGTACCAATTTGCCGGATCGGCAAGGCAAGCCTACAAATTACATGTGGGGGCAAGTTGTACAACAGAAATTTTTGCCGGGCGGTTGGTGGGTCATGACCACATGGCCAATTCTTCCACCACATTGCCAGACAAATTGTGTAGTGTGTAGAGAGATTCCAGACCTCAAAACGCTGACCCAAATGTGAACCAGCCGTTTAATTGGAACGTTTTCTGGTATGTAAGATTTTTGGTGGTCGCTGAATACAAATATAAAGTCAAAAATTTCAAGCAATAAAATACCGGATCAAATTTAGCAGAAAAATAAATAAAACATAAAATTTAAATTTATTTTCGAAATTGGCAATGTAAGCGTACGTAATCTATTATTGTCAAAATACAATAATTATGAGAACGAAAGCAACGTGTAGAAAAGTTATTGTTTTTATTTAAAAACTGTAGCAATTACGTACAATATCAAAAGATAATCATTATTAAACGGCTTAAAAACTCATTTATTCAAACACATGCTAGCAATACAATTGCAGCAACTTATGTGATTTTGAAAGGTAGTACATACTATCGCGTATTACCTTTCAGTATAGAATTGCAAATTTGACCATAGGATTATGAACTATAACACATGTTTTTTGAGAATTTTTCGTTCATTTTTTTCATTTCAATCATTAACAAATATTCAGTATTCGCTCGGAAAAAAAAACTTTTATTTTAACTAATGTTATATTTGTACACGAACTTTGTCTAGAATTTTAATAACCTGATAATCTCGCTGCCGTAATATAACACGGTTGTAGGTGGTTAGCTTTCGAACTGGGCTTTGAAGATGAATACAAAAATTGTATTCCCCACCTGCATTTCAACTCTACGACTATAAGGGTTAACTATTGTGAATCTAGTTTTTTCTTTTTCATTTTGGCCAGATTTCCGAGATGTGAAAGCACTGTGAAACAGCCCGACAACACCGCTTCAGTTTCCTCAAATTTCCGTAGATGTTGCCTCGAAATTCCAAGCACTACAGAAAAATTCGGGTTGTTGTTCGGACAGAGTGTAGCCGTAGATTAACATGAATTCGTCCATGGTGTAGCCGGGAGTCCAATTTCGATGTCCGACAAATTGACCCGTGTGTATTATATCCGCACGTTTTCTTGAGCCCCGGAATATTTACCCCATCTCCTTTCCCAACATTAATAATAATAATAATAATATTTATTGAGTCACATATACAAATACAACCGTGTATGACGAGTCAATATGATGCCTTGGGTGGAGAGAGCGAAGTTATATTACTGTTCAGGAGCAAACAAGGGATTTGCTCAAAGGACCAGGGAAACTGAACAAAACCTGATCGAGATGGAGTCATTGGCCTAGAAATACAATACTTGTTACAGTTAGATTAAGATATTATACAGTAGATAAATTATCTGTTAATAATTAATATTTCAATATGATATTTTAATGCTACTACTTATAATAATTATATTAATAATACATATCAATTATGTTTGCAACTACATCAAATTTAAAAATAGTAGTACATTCTATATTTATAACTTGAAATGGTGAGAAGGCAAGTTTTGACCAGTTTTTTCTTCTTCTATTCTCCTTCTATTTCACAGGATGTAATATGCAGTTCTTTTTTTTCTTTGCTTCAGCTTGAAACAGTTCACATGAAACAGAAAGTCTAATGGAATAAGAAATTCTTATTTATTTATATTTTTTAAGGGAAATGTTGTAATTTGAATATTCCTTTACACTGTACAACATGTTGTTAAGGAGGAAAGCTTTCAATTTACTTTTAAATGTATGAATTGTGTTTATGTCTTTGATATCATTGCCTAGTTTGTTGTAAAGTGTAATGCCCTCTATTAGGGTACTTTTTTGATAAAGTGTAGTTTCAGAGTGGGGAACGTGTAGGTTATCCTTTTGACGGGTGTTGTAGTAATGTACATCAGAATTTAAAGTAAAAGTGTCTTTGTTTTCCATGAGAATTTTCTTTGTGAAGACCACTATTTCAAATATGTACATGCATGGTAGAGGAAGAATCCTTAGTTTATTTAACAAGGGTTTTCAAGACTCCAGCTTTGAGTGCTTATTGGTTGTGACATTAGTTGAATTAAGAATAAATTATAGCAATGAGCGTTGTAGACAAAATCTAGTAACGAGAAATGTTCGCTCCTGTGTATTAGAAACTATTTTGCTTGGAAAAATAAACTATTAATTCCACGTAAAATTCCTTTTGTCTAAATACGCAAACTCCCCACTCATTTCGCATCTAGCGAAGCGAGGGCTCAAGAAAACGTGCGCGGACAATAGATGCCTCAAAGCTGGCCTTGGGACATCTCTAGATTCAGTCCCCCCACCCAATGAAAACAAATTTAAAGGTATTTCAAGTTTCCCCATTCTTCCCTATCATATAACCAAATTTTAAAAAATAAAAAAATATAACTACTAGACCGCTACCTACCGTCGGGAACGCAAGCGCATTTTCTTCCTATACTCCGAACCGTGAGGAGGCAGCGGTGAAAGGAGCAGCCGACTGTTATACGCGCACGCTCTCTTGAGCTCTGGCATACCTACCTCACACCTTAACTAACATTAGTTATTCTGAATAAATGATAGCAACAAGTTTTGTTGACAAACTGATAACCGAAAGCGTTTGCGCCTGTCTAATAGAAAATAGTTTGCATCGAAAAACGAGCTTCAGATTTCATATAATAGTCCTGTCAATAAAATAATCACCTCCACCCACCCACATCTAGCGAAATCAGGACTCAAGAAAACGTGCGTGGGTAATAGTTTTCTCGCCGATGTCAAATACCCGAGGCGGCACAAGAAAGTTGTTTCGCAAAATTAAGTTTGATTCTCTTATAAATTTATAATGCTCTATACAAATATAGTTTTGTATAAAAATTTATACAAAAAATAGAAAATGCAACTAAATTATAATACTGCTTTATTGCATTCGTACAAATTTGAAAACTAGTTCATTTTCAAAACGAACTCAATGCAATGAGGCTCAACACTATAAACTAATTGCATAAACTTATTATAAGATTGTCCATTGACACCACCTTGCAATTTTTGGGATGGAAAAAATCTTTTTAGAAACAAAATATCTTGGCGGTTGGGTATCAAAAATCCTTAGTTTAAAATAACATGTATCCAAATCTAAAAATTAACTAATTAATTTTAGAAAATGTAACATTAAGTAGAAATGACTAAGCTTTGAATTATCATTAATATTAATAACATCAAATTATTATCAACAGGAGATATTAAAATAAAAGGACAAAAAGGTAACAAATCCACACAAAATTTAATAAATGGTGGAGGAAAATGGAATTTCTATAGGAAACATTTTGAGTTTATGTTATGCAAACTATTGATAAAAAATATTCAAACATTTTACAATATAGAAAAGTTTCTAGTGTTTTGGTCATCACGGAATGACTAGCATACACAAAATGCCAGAACAAGGATCTTTTGGGAATACTGGTAGTAGTAAATAGAAACTGGAGGTCATAGCAGGCCAGTAGTTTCAATAACATTTCATTTTTAGAGAAATTAAACATATTTAAATTACTGAAAAATATTTTAATACTGATATGATATCTAAGATGCTTATAAATTTCGGGTAAATGTGTTGGATAAATTTGTTGTTTGAAAAATGAGTTAACATAATAGAATTCAACATTAAAATACAAGGAATTTCTGACTGGAAAAAAAAGTCTCATACAACTTGGACAAACATTTTACTGAAATTGAAACAAAATAATAACAAATTACAAATTTATTTATACTTCATTTAATTACAAAACAAAATACAATTATTAAATTACAGATTGAGATCCCTATCAATGACATTTCCCAAGATGCCAGAGTCATTTTCTTTGACACGCAGAGCAATGTCAATGAATGTTTCAGGCAGGTATCGCATACAAAAACAAATAAAATTCATAGGTGTTTTAATAATAGCAGAATGGTATAAATGTTTTATAACTTCATCCACAAATGGATTACAGCCTTTGCGTCGGTAACGCAATGCTTTGTCAATCAAGGAACCTAATTTTGAAATTATTTCTTGAGATTTCTTTTGAGGGTTAATCACATTTTTGTCTTTTATCTTCATGACAACAGTTTTACTAAGACTTTTATATAATCTTGTATGTAGCCAAGTTGGACGTTTGATACGAGGGGCTTTGTTCACATCTCTAATAATTATAACATCACGATCCGAGGTCTTGAGTTTTCTATTAACACTAGTTTTGTTCTTGCTCACTGCTGCAGTCAGTTTGGGATGACCAACAGCATTTCCCCATGAGATTCTCAAAGGAAACTTAGTAGATTTTACATATTGCAATATTGAAGCTCCTCTTTCAGTTTCTTTATTAGATCTCTTCTCTGCAATGTCCTTTTTCTGAGACCTAATGTTTAAAACATGATTATTTTTACTAGAATGTCGATCATTAACGTTAAAAATATCTTCCATTTTTTCCCTGTGTGCTAGGAGTTTCTTGAATTTTGCATAATTTGCTGAATGCGTTTGTATTTGCTTACAGGCCTTCCGATACTGTAATAATGTCAACTTCTCATGCTGTCTTTTAAGATGAGACCTAACAGCAGAAAGTTTTTGTGACATGATACCCAAATTATTTTCAACTATTGTTGTTGACAAAATATCACGTTCATCTTCCTTTGGTCTTGATTCTTCCAAAAACAAGGTGTTAAATTTATTGCTCATAAATTTACTCTTTGAAATGACTGTACCAATTGCGTTACTATTATTCTTCATAGATTCACTCTTGCTATCAAGTGCTATTACCTTACTTTGTGGAAAACTACACTGTGAAGTTGAAGATTTCGTTCTTATCCTAGCACTGGGAGATTTGGTGTCTTTCACACTTTCATTATTAGTCTCTCTCTGATATTTATCCTTATTTGAGGTACTTGTGTGCGTCCTAAAAACAGACTCCATGTTGCTACGCAACCTCTGTGGCTGAGATTTATTATTAGATATATTCTCAGGAGACTTCACAACATCCCTTGAAGAATGAGATGTATTAATGGTCAAATGGCTGTTCCCTTTTGAATCATGCTTCTCAGATGGTACAAGCTTCATCCCAGGCTGTGTAATTGATGACGCTGGAACTGACTTAGAATGATCTGCAATGCCTTGTTTCATTATTATTCTTCTTTTAACTCCCTGTGCAATAACTGGAGAAATAAAGACATTCATTGAATCCAATGATTTAAGCCTCACTTCATCTTTCGATGTTTGGGCAATTTTCACCAAAGATGTACTTTCATCTTTGTTGCCAGAATAAATATTGCTCCTAACACTACTTTGCTCTTTCTCACTACTTTCTAAACACACACGGCTACGATTAGTTAATTTGGACACACTTCCCTCATGTGTAATTTCTCTCTCATTGTTCACATTTGCAGAAACCCTTTCAGTTGTAAAGGATTTTACAAGATCTTGAAGAGTCCGCTGTAGTGTGGATCTATATGTTGAGCTGATAACATTCGAAACAGAATGTTTCCTTGCCTCTTCAACATTCATATTTTCAGACGCAGACAAACCCTTCCCAGAATTCTTTTGAATCATTCCTCTCTGATTTCCCTTTTTTTCAGACACATTAAATCTACTTTCATTTGAATTTTCACCAACTCCCTGAAGCAATGATACATCAGATACCAAGTTGGAGACATCATTGTCAACATTTTTTGACTGTTGTGATGATATTCTTAGGCTTCGGCATTTAGAGGCCTGGTCTGCTTCCAAAAATGACATACTTTCTTCTTGACGGGAAAGGGTATTGACCTCAAAATGTACTTGTTTTTGCTCATTTTTTTCAAGAAATTCGGTACACTGATTATTTACCTCGCTCTCTGATTTGGAGACCTCTTCATGTGTTATTTCTCTTTGATGTTGCATATTTGAAGAAATTTCCTTTGCTGTACTATCCTGTGATAGATCTTGATGACTCGGTTGTTGTTTAGTTGATTGTTTACTTGGTGAATCAGTAACAAAATGTAATTTCAAATCTTTTGATTTCTCTTGTGCACTCCCTATCTCAGATGCTGACAAATCTCTTCTAGAATTCTTTGGTACCTGTACACCATGTTCCACCTTCTTTCTGGTTGCAGAAACGCCAGAATCATTTGCATTTTCTTCATCACTCTGATGAGATAATTGATCAGTAAACAATTTAGAAGCATCATTACCATTCTTTGAGTGTTGTGATGAGAGACGCTGGCTTCTGTGTTTAGGCACCTGTTTGTCCCCCATCAATGATTTACTTGCTTCTTGGTCTGAATGTACATTGCTCTCAAAATGCACTTGCTTTTCCTTGTCAGTGTCAGAAATTACTCTACTCTGATTATTTACCTCAGTCTCTGATCTAGAGACATCTTCAAGTGTTATTTCTCTTTCATGTTGCACATTCGAAGAAACTTCCTTTGCCATACTATGCTTTGAAAGATCTCGATGATGCAGTTGTTGTTTAGTTGACTGTTTACTTGGTGAATCAGTAACAATATGCAATCTCAAATCTTTTGATCTCTCTTGTGCACTCTCTTTCTCAGATGCTGACAAATCTCTTCTAGAATTCTTTGGTACCTGTACACCATGATCCGCCTTCTTTCTAGTTGCAGAAACGCGAGAATCATTTGCATTTTCTTCATCACTCTGATGAGATGATTGATGAGAAAACAAATTAGAAATTTCATTATCATACTTTGAGTGTTGTAATGAGAGACGCTGGCTTCTGCGCAGAGGCATCTGGGCTGCTCCCATCAACAATTCACCTGTATCATGATCTGAATGTGTATTGCTCTCAATATATACTTGTTTTTCCTTTTCAGTTTCAAAAAATACTATATTCGGATTATTTACCTTGCTCTCCGATCTGGAGACATCTTCATGTGTTATTTCTCTTTGATGTTGCATATTTGAAGAAATTTCCTTTGATGTACTATCCTGTGAAAGATCTTGATGACTCGGTTGTTCAGTTGATTGTTTACTTGGTGAATCAGTAACAAAATGTAATTTCAAATCTTTTGATTTCTCTTGTGCACTCACTATCTCAGATGCAGACAAATCTCTTCTAGAATTCTTTGGTACCTGTACACCATGTTCCACCTTCTTTCTGGTTGCAGAAACGCCAGAATCATTTGCATTTTCTTCATCACTCTGATGAGATAATTGATCAGTAAACAATTTAGAAGCATCATTACCATTCTTTGAGTGTTGTGATGAGAGACGCTGGCTTCTGCGTTTAGGCACCTGTTTGTCCCCCATCAATGATTTACTTGCTTCTTGGTCTGAATGTTCATTGCTCTCAAAATGCACTTGCTTTTCCTTACCAGTTTCAGAAAAAACACTACTCCGGTTATTTACCTTGGGCTCTGATGTGGAGACATCCTCATGTGTTATTTCTGGGTCATGATGCAGTTTTGAAGAAATTTCCTTTGATATATCATGCCTTGAAAGATCTTGAAGACTCTGTTGTAGTTTACTCCGTGAATCAGTAATATTGTGCAACCTTGAACCTTTTGTTTTTCGTGCCCTCTCTTTCTCAGATGCTGACAAATCCCTTCTGGAATTATTTGATTCCAATACTCCATGTATGGCCTCCCTTCTATTCTCAAGAAAGCTAGAACCCTTTGAATTCTCAGTAACTTCTCTGAGGACCGATGTACCCAACTGCAAGTTGGGGAGCTCAGTCTCAGTATCATAATTCTTTGAATGTTGTAATTTATTCAAATTTTTACTTCCACATAACTGGCTTGTGTCTATAAAAGACTTGTTTTCCTCCTGCACGTGCAATGCAGCTGATTGTTTAGTCAATAAATCAGTCATAGCAAGTGATTTTGTAAATTTTGATTTCATATCTGCATGAACATTCTCAGTTGCTGACGAATCTCTTCTTGAATTTTTCAATGTTGTTTCCACTTCTTCTAACATGGTTTCATTATCTTTTTCCTTGGAATTTTCACTCACATCACTCAAGGCAAGCAATTTGTCAGAGATTAATCCACGTTTAGCATTTCGAGATGCTCTTGACAGAATAAGCTTTTTCCCAGTACCGGTAGTACTCTCAGCAGATAAACTATCACAAATAGAAGTATCGTGAAGTAGATTCTGCAAAAACTTGGACTTCACCTTTGAAACGGTAGGAACATTCCCAACAGAGGTGTCTCTGGTGGACTGGGGTGATGAACTGAAGCGGAATGAAGTGGAACGAGGGAGTGGAAGCTCTGAATCCGATCCATCTGACAATGAAGACATTTTTGTTAAAACTTTATGTTCTGAATGTGACAGTTGGGTTAGTAGTTTCTCAGAAGGAATTTCATTTAGGTCTTCAATATTCAAAAATTGTTCTTGTGTACGTTTAGGTTTAAAATTCATTTTTGACAAAAATGTACACTCATCCTTCTTGCCAGTTTGCTTGTAATTCACTTCTGATAATTTATCCTCATTGGAAACATCTAAAAAACCTTGTAAATACTTCAATCCATTCTTAGGTGGTTCTTTCGACTCAAACTCATTTCTTATACTTGGATTTGTCATATCCAAAAGCGATGTAATGTTTCTTCTATTTTGCACATTAGAATTATTTGGATCTATTTGCCCTGACCATGAAACGTGTAATAGATTTCGTTGCTTACGTGCCCTTTTCATGTCTTTTGTATTTGGGGAAGAAAGCAATAACCTTCCCTTAATATCAGTGACACTACTTAAATCTGACAGTATTTTATTCGAATTTTGTGACAGATGTAAGTCTTCATTCGTTATACTTACAGTACCATCCTTAAATGCGTCATCAAATCTACCAGTCTTTTGTGCTCTCTCAGGCAAACTGTTGTTATAGGTATCTGTAACATTAGGGTAACTTATACTGTTATTCTCACATGACATTAACTTTGAAAGTTGAATTTTATGTGTCTTCACAGATTCAGATTCTGAACCATGTCCTTGTTTGGATTCATAACTTCCATTCTGATCTGGCAACTCAATTTTTTTTATATTATTCAATAATGCCTTTTTTTGATAGTTTTCTTTCCTTCTCCTGATTGACCTTGAACCTTTTTGTTTTCTAATTCGATTTGTAAAATCTTTTGATGTATAAAGCAAAGAATGTTCAGAAAGATTTCCAGAATCGGAGTGATGCTGTTCTCTTTCTAGTATATTCTCTGTAGCGCACGATTCAAGATTAGGTTTAGGTTTTTGCAATACAGATCCACGAGCGTTTTTAATTGTTCTTGGATTGGATGATAGATCTTCAGTTTTCTCATCCCACATATTGTCGAATCTCTCTTGAGGTATCCTCTTCCCAAAATGTTGAATTTCAGGTGTTGCTGGAACATCAGGAAGAGTAGGACTAACAGATATTTTATGTTCTCGTGGAAGATGATCAGGCAGGTTTCTACTACCAACATGAGACCACCAGTTCGTAAAAGGGGACGTAACAATTCTTGTGTCATCATATAAGTCATCTTCTTGCAACTTGCGCAATAAATTACGCTTACTGGCATATCCTGGCATAGATATGTCCTCCCACCAATCATCTACACAAAAGGAAAAGCACATTAAAATTATAAAAATAACTAACACTTTCATAATATGAATGCAACTTGAGTATACAACTATTCAATTTGATTACCACACATTAATCACTGCAATAAAAAAACAGCAATAAAAGTTATAATCCCCTATTAAGTAAGAAGGGCACATTGTTAAGCATTATAATTAATATATTTGGATTCTTTGATATGTCAATTCAATACAGTGAATTAACATTCATTAGTAGGATTTGCATTGGATCTCTCGTAGGATTAGGAATTGAATTAGTTGGTTTGGTAGACAGACCATCTTATACCACCTAGAAAACCGAGTAGTCCAATTACATACATAGTATTTTCCGACAATTTTTTAATCCATATCATGCAAGTGAATAAATAATGAAAGTTGGAAAGATTAATGTTCCTAATGAAAGACTTGAATTTGATATAAACTATCCAAATTGTAAAAATATTACCATAATTCTACAAAATCATTAAAATTATTGACCAGCAATTTGTCTTGCATACATGATTACCACATATACAACATTACATTACTTACAAACAAATAAGATCAGAAATTATTTTGAACAAATTATTCTAGAAAACCTCAAATATGAAATACTACTTAATATATATAATTTAATACTAGGGGTCGGATTTTGATGACCTAAAGCATTGCCAAAAATGATTAATAAAATGCTTTTAAAATGTTTTTTAAAATGCTCCGAAAGTAAAGAAAAAAATTTGATCAAAACCACGTCAAATGAACAACTTCAACTGTTGGATATATTACTGATGTAATTGAGGCTTCTTCCTTTCGTTTAAGTGAACTCAGCTTCCAAACTTTTGGTTCGATCTGGTTTGTTCTTTACCAGGAAATCTGTCTTTAGAAATAGCGAAATCGCCCAAACTGGCTATGTTGGTGATAGATGCTATGTTGCTGAGGAAGATATCGAATAGATTACTAAGGAATTTTGTGGAGAAATTTGTTGCACCTCAAATATTTTTTGAAGCAAGTATCATAGATGCAAGTGATATTAAAATCTATGTAACGAGTGAAAAATGCTTTAAAAATGACTGAAAAAAGTATATATAAAAAAAAAACTTTATTTGAAGTAGACAAAAAATGCAAAAAAAGTCATATTAAAACGAGTAATTTCCCTTTGAGATAATATAAAATGAATGTTTATAGTAAAAAGTTCTTGTTGAATGTCTCGCGTTGTTGAGCAGCGGCGATGGTGTGACGGTTAGCGTACCGGACTGTTATCGGATTCAAACCCGATCGAAGCCGTGGATTTTTAGGGCGACAAAATCCTTCGTACGCCTTCCTTCGGAGGGGAAGTAAAGCCGGCTGTCCCATGTTGGTAGATTTACTTGCATGTAAAAGATCCTGAAGCCTAAATGACGCCTCTGAGCTAAATTCAAAATCGCCTGTTTCTCGCCCAAGAAATACCTCCTTTCTCTGCTAGTTGATGAAAGGAGCGTAGCGAAATTTGCGTGGTCAGACGGAAGAGCGGGCCTGATGGCCCGAGTCTCGCCACTTAAAATAAGGCGAATTCAATTCAATGCCTATACTAAAAAGGCATTGCTCTAAAGTGAAAAGAAAAAATTGACATTTCATTAAAATCCTCCACCTATTTATAACTGCTATATATACTCGCAGTGCAATATTATCAAAGTAAATATGTATCTATTTGCCAAAGCAAAGAGTTTCTATCAAATGGAATTAAAAAATCTAATCAAAAGTTGCAAAAAATGCTTGCTGCTACATTTTATTTTTATTTCTATTATGTGTGATAAGAGGTAATGGGTAGGAATTCCAGAGCTTTAGAAAATGTCAATCATGGATTTTAACAAATGTCAATTTAATGGAGTTTCACAAAAAAGTCTTATTTTGAGTTTCAAAGAAAATCTTTCTCCAAATTTGAAGTTGCATGTTTAAAGTTCTTAACACTAGAAAGACGTCAATACTATTCTACCTACAACAATGGCAAGCAGTCAAAATAATGATTCAAATAATTTTTTTTATTTTGAGAAACTTTTGTTGTAATTTAAGTATTATAATATTTTTAGGGTAAAGTAAAATATTCTTTGAAGTAAAATATTTAATTATTTTGGCTTCCAATCCAAACAGACTACTACTTTTTTTGTGCCGCTACATTTGGTACAAATTATTTTTCCGCACACAGAACAAGTATAATTGGATTTTTGGTTTTAACAATATCCTATCAGACAAACTCAATGCTTATTCATTTCATATTAAATTGAATGCTCATGCTACACACACACACGCGCACCCACCCCCCCACTCACACACACCATGGTAAACCACGAAGTTAACCCATGAAGAAATAGCTGTTATCTCGAAAAAATAAGATAAGTAAAAAAAAATTATATTTTCCCTTTTTTATAGATAATCCTCAAATATTAAAAGTCACAAAAATAGATCAATAAATACAGGCACAAAAGTAAAATATGACCTCAAAACATTCAAAATGACTGCTCCCGTTGCTTCAGTGTTACGTTATAAATCTTAATTTTAAAAATCAAAGTTGTCATATTATAATCATGAGTTTTAACTTGAAAAATTTCGTAACCTTAATGTTTTATTTGATGCAATTGTTTGAAAATACGAACTTGTGGTGCTAACGAACTACATACTCTATAGCAATGTTCCTAACGCTCTGCAGATTATTTTGATTTGATGTCATACATTTTACAAATAGGACAAGAGAAATGTAAACTTGTTTAAAATTTACATCTCTCAAATACGAAATCAACAAACACTTCCTATTTATTTAGAATCTTAATAGATTCTAAATTTGAGTAGACTTCCTTCAAATGACTTTCAATAAAATTTCTGAAATTCTCATGTTTTCAGAGGCAAGAGAGTTGTGACATATTTATCCCCAAGTCAGGCTCAAACCAGCGATCATTCCCTCTGAAACGCTGTCCGAAATTTAACCTCTTTGGCGGTTATTTGGCACTTCTATAATAGTCATAAGCGCCGAAAGACAACAATTGATTTGATGGTTCATACATTTTACAAATCCATAAGATGTGAAAAAGTGGTTTCAAGTTGAACATTCGATAATCACATATATACACTTTCAGTTTATTAATCTTGATTTATAGTATTTGCGATTAAAATTACTTCAATTGGTTTTCAATATTTTTCTGAAATTATCAACTATTTCCTGCGGCACACATGTCACAAATAATAGTTCCCGAACAAGACTCAAACCAGCGAACCTACAAGAGCAAAGATAGCTCAGCTATCCAATTACGATGTGCAATTCACACTTCTATAATAGTAATGTGTACGGTGGTTTCAGTTCTAGCATTATGGAGCTGAGTAATTAAGAAAATGTGAAAAATTTGTGTTTTTTGAGCGCCGAAAAAAAACAGCCGAGAAGATAATGATGCCTTTCAGAAATGGAGGTCAAAAGTAGAAAGAATGGCACACTAACTAGGGCGAGAAAGTCAGGGCCATTCTATACCGTCACTTTTTACATATGTAGAGAAAATTTCAAGAAAAAAATTGGAGCGTTTTTTGAGAATTTTTGTTGTTGTAAATTTCAAGCACATATTACGCACAAACTACTAGTTTAAACAAAAAAAAAAGTGTACATGATCTTTTTCAAAGACCTAATTTTATACAACAGTCTTTGTCAGATCCAAAAATCTATCTTCAATACTGGCACCATTCTCTTAAAAGTCTTTCGCACTATTGACAACAAAATTTAATCCAAAAATTTGGTGCCTTTTTAATTTCTTTTTTTATTTTGAAAAGGACCTTTATGTAAAGCACCCGTAAAATTAAACTGTTGGTTTCAAATTCTAGGGGCCGCTACATCAGCCAGATCAAATGGACATTTTGCCGTCAATCAATTTTTCGGTATCAAGAACAAACGAAACATGGATTCTGGCTACTGAGTTAAAGGATTTTTTTTTTTAATTCAACAACTGGTTTTATCCACTTTTTCGTCTCCAGAACCGGGCCATAAGTTTTTTTTTTTTTTTTTTTTTTTTTTTTTTTTTTTTTTTTTTTTTTTTTTTTTTTCAGGCGAATTTCGGCGTTCACATAAGTATTCTGGCGCACGATTACGTAAGTTTCTATTCTGACGAACTCGTAAATGGAGAAAGTAAAAAAAATAATTAACGTTTAGATTACTAGAACAAAATTGACATAAATTATAACGAAAAAGTTGTAAATTTTTACACATTCAGAGTTTATTTCTTAGGCCATGTGAATTGTGCTTGGAATATTGGTACCTCAGGTATTGTAAAGGACCCTTTAGTGATTACTTCGATAAATCAGAGACACTAGTTGCATATTCTTATTTTGTTTTTAATTAAAATTGTAATTTGAAATTAATTAATTTTATTAAATATTACTGTTAAGATTAATAATGTTAAAAAATATTTATTAATCTTAATCAAATTAATTAAAAATGTTAATAATAATTATTATGATTTTGCACACAAGAACTAAACTTTGGTTTCATATTCGTTCAACTTTTCTTTTGTTTATGTTGTGATAAGTGTATAATTGTGACAGCAAACAGTAACAAAATCAACATGGACATATAGTTTACTAAAACAAAATTATTTAAATTGTATAAAAAAAGCACAAAAACACATTGTTCCCGATACGATTTAGTTTCTATGAGCATGCAAAGGAAACTATGGCCAAAGGGAATTTTAATGATTTCACAACTACAAGCCCTGAGAAAAGGTTCTAAAACATTCAGGCTTAAATTTTTGATGATGATAATCATTACATTTTTAATAGTACGACTCATCTTCAGTTTTTGTTTATCTTTTCAATTTACTTTTATTTACTGTAGTAAGAACAATTTAACAGTATTGCAAATGAGACATCAAAATTAACTTTAATAATCTTTTCATTTCAATTCTTGAAATAACTTTTCTCAATTAATACAAAAAAATTGACTTCTTGGCAATTTTGTTGTAAATGTCCTCAACATGATGTTTAAAATTTAGAAGTTATCTGAAATTACCCCAAAATATTTGTATTTCCTACCCCTTTCTAGATTTGCACTCAAGAGTACAATTGATTGTCATAATTCTACATCTTCCCTACACGGATTTAGGGAAGAAATGAAATTAACACAATCAATTGGATAAACCTTACATTTCATGTTGCAAACACTAACACAAAAAATTCATGCTCAGCCGTTCACTAACCAAATTTAATTCTACACATCTCAAAAACAAAATTTATTTTATTTATCTCGTGTATATATATTTATATTATATTAATGTCTTATCAGCAAACCTTACAAATTCTTTGTTTTCCACCCCTGGTAAATCATTTATCTGTAATATAAACACTAGTGCTCCCAATTTACTCCCTTGTAGCACACCCTGTGTAACTTGCTTTTCATCTGATACACCATTATTAAAATTAACCCAAGGTAGGTAGTTTATTCAAGTAGTTTACATTTCTGGTACAATCAAATATATACAACATACATATACAAATCACATATTCACATATCACAATTTTCTGTATATAAGTACTTAACAAGGCAATGAAGCCTGTGTGCAAACTTGGCACCATAGGACGCACAAAATATCTAAATAATTGATTAAAATAGATAATTAAGAAATAATAAAGAAAATGATAAGATACTGAAGTGAGATAAGTGAAACATATACAGATGGTAAGAAAGAAGTCTTTGCTAATAATGACAATAGTATAAAATTTACATAACAGTATTAACACATTTGTTATTTACATATTTCTGACTGCCATATTATTTAATTTTCACAATAACTTGTGCCCATGCTTTCATTTATCAACAGTCATTTTCCATTTTAATAAAATGTTCACATCACAATTAAATAAAATATTTACATATATTTTTTTGAAAATGTTATAGGAAGAATGTAACAATTTTTTTTTATGTGATGAGAATACTTTATTTAATTGCGATGTGAATATTTAATAGAAATGAAAATGACTGTCAAAAAATTAAAAGTATAGATATAAGTTATTATGATTAATATTAATCCAAATATCCAACCAAGGACAAAAGATTAAGCCTAGAAAAAGAAGCACAATAAAAAGATCTTGTTAGTATTTTTATTATTGTTTCATTATCTACATTGTCAACCATTTCTGGATATTTTTCTCTGCTTTTGGTGTATTAATATTTATATTCTTTAATTGCGGAATAAGGCAATATATGCAATGTAGTTATGACTCCTCTTACTGATGTCACTTAACAATAGGTGGTAAAATGACAGTTGTATGCTCATTTATTACATTTTTGGAGATATTTTATACCGATTTTAGGAGAATTTATCTATGAGTGATTTTCACAAAAAAACATTTTCTGATTGATATTTACTTATTTGTTAACAGACAATTTGTCCCATTGTATACACAAGAAAATTTGCAGTTTATGGATTTATTTGCTGTATACAAATGCTTAAAATAAGAAAAAATTATTTTGTGGTTTCGTAGTGCGTACAGGCGGAACCTTAAAATTAACCAGATTCAACACAAGTGAGCAATCAAAACTACTTTCAATAATTTCTGCAAAAACAAGACATCCACATAATCCCTATACCATCTAAGTGAAGGCAAGTTCTGGCGCAAAGAGATAGCTCCATGTTCCTGAGTTATTAAAGGATCTTCAATCCTCATATGATAAGTTGCAATTGTAAAGTCTTACCATTAGTAAATACAAAAGTCGCAGTATCTGCATACAGTGCAGTTAATAGCAAGTACAGTCAATGAATCCAAACATCTGATTGGCCTTATTGACCATAAACTCCAAGTGGTCTTTAAAAGACATTCTGGAGTCAAAGATAACATGAAAGTCCCTAATCGAAAATACTAACAATAACAACAGACTTAATTGCATACTCTGCACCAATCAATTTTCTACACCTTGAAATGAAATTCTCTTACACTTTTCAGGATTTAAACTTTATAATCATTATCCTCACACCATTTAACAAACTTATCTACCACACTCAGCAACTAAATTTTGTCTTTTGATGATTTTATAATAATGAATATCTTCAACTCATCAACGAACATTAACTCCACACCATCAAATAGATGACTAATGTCACTGATAAACATAATAAAAACAACGGGTTCCAAGTGGGAACTCTGAGAAACTCCAGAATAAACAATGATAGGATTTGAGACAACATTCCTAATCGTGACATATTGCACATGCTCAGTCAGATATTGTTTGAACCATTCATAAAAAGATCCACAAATACTGAAGCGTTTAAATTTATGAAGTACAATAGATAGGTCACTGAATCAAAAGCCCTGCTGAAATCAGTGTTCACACTATCAACTTGGAAAGATTCTTCCATTGCATTAAGAATATAGCAACAATAATACATAAGGTTATACTATATTTCTCCCATGCATAATACCAAATAGTTTATCTGACAGAAAGGGGTAAATAATAACTTTCAGTTTATCCAGAATCAAAGACTAACAGTTTAAGATTGTTATTGGTCTGTTGTACATTCCCTGCTACCAGATTCAAATAAAGGTACTATAAACGAGAACTTCCAAGCTGATGGAAACCTTTCTTCAAGTAAAGATCTATCGAATAAGGTTTTAAGCAATTGAGAAAAAACATATTTACAGGGTTTTTTTAGCAAGATGGTAAGGATTCCATCAGGGCCCATTTTCCCCACCCAGAACTAGCCTTTCAATCTTCTGTAGCATCTCAGCAAAGCCCATGTCAACACTATTCACCACATAATGGGATTGGTTCTCAAGAAGTATATCACCAGATCGATTTGGTTGCTGTCTATAAAAATTAGAAAAGTAACTGGCAAATCCATCAACTATTGAGTTTAGGCCTGTATAAGTACATGAGCTCATGTTCATCGTGTTGGGCATGTGTATACCAACGTTTCTCGAGTTAATGAATCTCCAGAATTTCTTCTTGTCGGAACTGATGCACTGGGCAAGATTCTCATTAAAGCAAGCAAAACCTGTTCTCTCCAGAAGCTTAAATGTGCATCTCAAATATGTAAAAGTTTCCAGCTGTACCACTGAGGAAAGTTCGATTTCTTCAAGACCATTTTAGGTACTTATAGATCAAAACATTGATATATGTGAAAATAGAATGAATCAATTACGTCATCAAAACTACAATTGAAAGTCGCCAACAAAGAATACAATTCACACAAATATCATTCAATCTCAGAATAATAAGCATATACAACATCATAGACCCATCACTCACCAATATCTCCACTGACAAAACGCCTGGATAAAGACAGATGATTAACATCAGCAGTCACTATTTCTTCATTGGGAACTACTAGTAAATGAGCTTTTGAATCGGCAAAAATTAAATCAAGTCTATTGTGAAACACATTATCAATTTCATTTATTTGAAAAAAGGATTTAAGAAGCTAATGGGAGCAGCTAATGTTTCAGCACAAGTTTTCTCATGCAATATAGTGTTACAATAAAAAATTGGATATCTCACATATTCATTGTACATTAGGTAAATGGTCATCACCAAATAACAGCCAATTGACATTCAGGTACTCTTAAGTTAAGAGATTCCAATGTAGAGGTGTGTGAAGCAAACTCATTACTAGGCATTAACGGTGGAAAATAAACTCAATCAATTATGATATTTACACTACCCAAAAAAAGACAAACAAACAGATGCTCAACATTGTCACAAAAATCAAGCTGAACACTGTTATGCACATTTTTAATTCCTATAAGAACCCCACAGCCTCTTGAAAATTGGAGACATAAATGTGGGAATATAGTGATACAAGTTGACAATGATAAATATTTTACTCTTCACTTTGCTGATGACCAGGTTATGCTTGCTGATGATGAACAACATATAGATTATAAGCTGAGGAAACTAAATGAAGAATATACATCTTGGGATTTAATTATGAATCCTTTGAAAACTGAGTATGTTGTTGCAGGGTTGCAAGGACAAACTTGCAAGTGCATATATTTATACTGTTTCTACAATTGCAGAAGGCCTAATGGTTTTGGAGAAAAACTTTGGAAAAAACTTATACTCCAGAAATGGCTGACTGGGTGGGGTGCACGTAGCAAGTTAGTAGCAAAACATAACCCAAAGTCTATCCATCTACCTGCCTTTCACCACCTTGTCTTTATGAAGAAAGAGCATCACACTGATCCCATTTTCTCTTTCTTTTTTTCCGATCTTTTTGGTTCCACTATTTTGGTTAAAAGGGTTTCAATTAAGAGGTTCTACTGTACTTTCTTATTTTCTTCTCTCCAACAATCGACAGATTTTTCAACACTTTTTATGCTATTTTGCTTTCAAAATGCTACACTTTCTATTCTTCCAATGCTATTACATCAACAATCAAGTATTAAAAGAATTTTTATTATTTACTAGGTAAGTTTCTCTGACTTGCACATTGTACTTGTTTCCAATTAGTGTTTTAAATGTTTTTAATGTAGATTTTGTCTCCCACATTTTACATTTTATGCAGTAAGACTTGCTCATTGTGGAACACGTATAATGCGGAATTTTGTGTATTGAGAACATAAATCAAATTGCTTCCAGATTCCACATTGAGCAAGTTTTACTGTACCACAAAACGGCATTAGGTTTGTTTCTTCTTTCGTAATTCCTTACACCTCTTTGATAAACCTCAAGATATGAGAAGATGAATTTACGAAATGTCCAACAAATAGTATGGTGTTAACAGCATTTCCCTTCAACTTTATTGAATAAAGATCTATTTTTAATGCATTTTGAAATTGTCTTCTCCAAGACAACAAATATTCTTTCATTACTGTTGAAAACTATGGGCATGGCATTTTTCTAACCCATTTATTGTCTTGTTGTCATCTGCATATTCTGAATAAAATTTTTCCTTTCAGTATCTCATATTTCATTCAAAAAACAATTTCAACATCATCTTTCCTGCAACCCAATTTTCTTGGCATAATTTCCAACATTTCATTATATTCTAAATTTCCTTTCATTAATAACTTTTCATTTTCTCCACGTAATTATTTAACATCCCTGTAATACTAAACATTTTATGATTCAAAACCACTGGTGTCTGCAATACTTATACTTTACGTTTCATATTCACACTGACAGTTCATTGAATTAAGTTGGGTCATCACATCAGTCTTGACATCAAGCCAGACAAGAGCAATGTGATGGCCGATATTACAGGATATTGAAATACATTAAGTGATATTCAATTAAAAGAATGCTTACCAGTACTAATCCTCGCCACCGTGTCATCAGGTAGGAAGGTACGATTGACTGGGTTGACATTAACTTCAGAAGCAACAAAGAATCCGGAATTTCTATTGGTCGATTTACTTCTGTTTTTCACTTTCCTGCTACTTTTCTTTGCCATTTTTCTCAGCAATCGTAGTCTAGTAACCAAAAAAACAAAAGTCAAACAATAATGACAATAGGATATCAAGTTTCCTACCACCTTAAAGAACGTGGAGAAATTCAGAGCAAAGTCGCCAAACACTTGGCTAAATCAGGGTTATCTTTACTTCTTTTCCTTGTCATCACGGTGTAAAACGGTCATACACCGTCGTCGAGTTACTGTGAAGAAGTCATACTGTTAACTCTGATTCAAACAATATTGTTTTGAGAAATTGCTTGAACTCACAACCTCATACCTTTATAATATGCAATAGAGAGTCGCCCGCTGGGGCTTTTGGACTGTAATTTGGTCTGGCTTAGTCTCGGCTAACCAAAACCACAAAAGTTGCCGCCTCAAACATCAAATATCACTGACATGACTATTTATAAGGCACTAAAAAAACACTACAATTCTTGACAGCAGTGTTGGCGGGCTTTTCAGCTGTGAGTGGGCGTAAGCGCACGCACCGAACGGTAACCGCATTTATATTCAAACCGATTCAAACCAACTCTTTGATTCAAACAGTATTTATACCAAAGAGTATATATCAGAGACGGCACTCAATGTTAAAAGGAATAGCCTTATTTGCCCAACTTCCGGTGCCGCCACATTGTTCTGTATAATTTCTATTGGGTGAACGGACA